ATTCCCCAGGTATTTATCTACTTAATTATTTCTAAATGATTCATTATCCAAAAACGTTGAAAATTCTGGAAACTTTTAATATGTGTTCTCGTTCTTAAGGTCCTTGCAAGCCTCAATAACGCGCTTGGTCATAGTCTTTTCACCCTCACGAACAAAGACTCTGGGATCGTAGTACTTCTTATTGGGCTTGTCGGCACCTTCAGGATTGCCAACTTGGTTCCTGACATAGTCGGCCTTCGCGTTGAAGTAGTCACGGAAACCACTGCAGTACGCCCACTGAGTGTCAGTGTCAATGTTCATCTTCACAACACCGTGAGAGAGAGCCGTAGCGATCTCCTGCTTGGTCGATCCGGAACCGCCATGGAAGACGAAGAAAACGGGTCTGTCGCTCTCGAGTTTCAACTCCTTCTTCACATGAGCCTGGTGCTTGCCGAGAAGTTCCGGGTGCAACTTCACGTTGCCAGCCTGGTATACGCCGTGAACGTTACCAAAGGCAGCAGCAATGCTGAACAAGTCGGTGTGCTCCGAGAACCTTTTATAGATCTCGAGAATGTCTTCGGGCTGGGTGTAGAGGGCTGCGTTGTCAACGCCTTCATTGTTCACTCCATCTTCCTCACCGCCAGTGATACCGATTTCCATCTCGAGCAAACAATTAATCTTTGCCATCCGCTCCAGGTACTTGCAGCAGATAGAAATGTTCTCCTCCTTCGGTTCCTCGGACAAGTCGAGCATGTGGGACGAGAACAGGGGTTCACCATGCTTGGCGAAGTACTCCTCATCAGCAGCAAGCATGCCATCGAACCAGGGCAGCAATTTCTTGGCGCAGTGGTCGGAGTGCACGATGACGGGGATGCCATAAGCAGGGGCTACCATTCGGACGTAGTGGGCTCCAGCAACAGCTCCAAGAATGGAGGCTTTCTGCTCCTTGTTATCCAAGCCCTTACCAGCCATATACGCAGCACCACCATTGGAGAACTGAATAATGATAGGAACGTTCAGTTCCTTGGCAGCATCCAATACAGCGCACACAGTAGATGTGGAGGTACAGTTGATAGCGGGGATGGCGAAACCCTTAGCGCGTGCGTAGTTGAAAACCTTACGGACATTGTCACCAGTAATGACTCCAGCCGGTACGTTCAATTCCTGACAGATGCCCATTCCCAATAATTAGCGCCGTGAAAAAATATTTGCAAGCACGTGCGCGACAGAACGTCCTTTACGATGACAACAATTTCTAGCCCAGAAATGGCGACCTGCTATGCGTAGGTTGTGGCCCAAACACAGTTACTCATTTGGTTGGTTTTCAGAGACGCTAAAGTGCTCTTGGTTGGAGCAGGAGGCATAGGATGCGAAGTGCTCAAGAATATTGTGCTCTCAGGGGTTCGCGACATCTCTATAGTAGACATGGACAGCATTGACGTGACGAACCTCAACAGGCAATTCTTATTTTGCAAGGAGGACGTGGGTAAATCGAAAGCGAAAGTCGCCGCTCAAGCAAGTGAGCGACACCCTCTCCCTCCTGCCCCGTTCCCCTCTCCCCCTTGCCCCTCTCCCCTTGCCCTCTCCCCCTTGCCCCTCTCCCCCTTGCCCCGTCTGGTTCTTTGCCGCAAGAGTGTTATTTTCCGTGTTTTAAGTTCGATATTATTTACGACCCGGGACTCCAAAGGATTTGAAAGTTCGATCATTCGTCCAAAAAGTTCAAGACCTGCAATTAGCATTTATTAGCGAACATGATTTTGTTATTAACGCTTTGGATAACCTGGAGGCAAGACGGTATGTGAATGGCGTTTGCGTTAAGTTAGGTCTGCCCCTATTTGAAGCAGGGTCTACGGGAGACCGAGGCCAGAGCTACGCTCTGTGGAGTAGAGCAGGTACCGAATGCTTTGACTGCCGTGAGCAGCCAAAGGTTACGGTGTTTCCGGTCTGCACAATTCGGCTGTCCCCAGAGAAGCCGGAACACTGCATAGCTTGGGCGCGATTCTTGTTCGAATCTTTATTCGAGTCCGAGGAACAAGACGACAACGCTCTCAAAGATGTAGGAGAACGCCTAGCCCGGGCGGGTGACGGGACCGAGCTATCTGACGTGGAGTTCGCAGTCGCTGCGGCTCAGTTCTTGTTTTGTGAACAAATCGAAGACTTGGTTGAGATGAAACACCCAGGCACGAAGACGCAAGTCGAAACAACTAACTCGACCGGATCATCGCCTAAAGAAGTGAGTCCGTCCAGGGACGCTCCAGATACGACTATCCACAATCACTCCGCTGGTGAAGCTCCCACTGGCGAGGCTCTCTCGTCTAATCTCGTGCCAAAGCCACTGGTGTGGTTGAAGAGCTACTTGGACAAGAAAAAAAAGGAGTATGAGACGGGGCTGACGCTAGTGGACTCTTCCAGCTTGGAAGCACGCGAGAACAAACCGGAGAGCTACTATGCGGACATGTTCATCCAGGGCCTCATAAATTGCCGAAGAGAATTTCGGAATCTGTCAGTTAAGTTTGATAAGGATTTGGAGAACGCAATGGCTTTTGTGTGTGGTGCAAGCAACCTAAGAATGCTGAATTTTCACATTCCTTTAGAGAGCTATTATTCTTGCAAGACTATTGCCGGCAACATACAACCAGCTATTGCCTCGACTAACGCAATTGTCGCCGGCATCCAGGTGGTGAATAGCATGCGACTGTATCCTCTGCTTTCAAAAAAGAAAGCAGGAAGCCTCACCGTTGAGGATTCCGCCCTGTATGCATCCGTGGATGCCGCCGCCACTGCAAAAAACGATGCCGCACACGTGTGTGCGGATGATATTTCTTTGGACGATGTACGGAAGGCAGGTGTTAAATTTGTATGGAGTCGCGCACAAGTACTCCGCAACAGTTATCTATTGCTATCCGAGCAGTTGGATCCAGCTAAGAGGGACTGTCTCGTTTGTCAATCGGTGACCAGCTCAGTTATGTTGCAAAGTTATTGCGAGTGGTCTGTGTCGCGATTCATTTCTGAGGTGCTCATTCCGCACTTCAACACCGGCGATGACGTCACTTTACAAACCAGCGCCGGCGTCATATACGACCTGGACATGGCAGAAGACGACCCGAAATTGGTGACCAAAAGTTTGGAGCAGCTGTTACCCGCAGACAACGCCATACTCAACGTGAGTGATATCAAAACAGGTTGCTTCGACATCATGATGCGAGAAGACCGAAACTCACCCGACCCACTGCAGGTCCATGTCGTGGCCTCAACCAACTTCAAGTCCACCAGAGAGTGGCTAGAACCCCCCACTTTGCCGGCGAAGCAAAGTCAAGATGCAAATGGGGACAAAGACGCCGGAACAGCTACTCCCGACGACGACGACGACGGCGACGGCGACAACGACGACAACTCGTCTGACGTCATTATGCTCGATGCCGCCAGCCCATCCGACCCATCTGATGCCCACCCACATGACAGCACTAGACAGAAACGCCCGAGAGACAGCGACGCTGAAGGGGAACCCGGCGCTAAACGCGGGCCGTCCGTGGGATAGTCCATGGAACCATCCGTATTCTAGCGTTCCAGTTTGCGTATGCTCCATTTCTAGCCTCCCCATTTCTAACTCCGCCCACAGTTTCTATCCGAACCCAGATTATTGGAGCAGAGTCCAGCCGGAGTGTCCAGCCGGAGTATTGATTGGCGCCAGTACTAGCGCTGAGTTCCCGTTAGCGCTAAGTTCCGATTTCAGTGCATCAATCAGCGGCGCTGAGAGTTCACCGTCACGGCACCAGTTTACTTTGTGACCCGATCCATCCAAAACGCGTTCGGCTTGTACTTGGTCCAGGTCCAAAATTGGTTGTAATCTGAATCGTCACACTCCTCCAAATTCACCTCCCCGGAATCCGCCTCCGTCAGACACATATTCCGTCCGTTTTTAATTCGCATGCCGACGATATCACCAAACTCACTGAAAGCGCTGCTTAGGTAGGAGTCTCTATGGACGAATATCTTCACATCATCCATGACCTCCGCTGAGGTTCGTTTATCTGAGATGGAATGTGTGATACGTGGTTGTGAACTACGTGGTTGTGTACTATGTTATGTAGAGTACTACCTTGTGTGTGTTGTGACGTCTAGGATGATGTGTGCAGAGCGAGTCGGATGGTGTGAAGCGTCATGAGTTAGCGCGTATCATTACCGGCTGAGATAAAGTCTAGATCAAGTGTCCATTGGACGTTGTGGGAGCACCAATCCCATTTCGGTTGGCTCTTATCGCCTTTTCCGAGCACCAAGCAAGTTTCGTCATTATTTTCTACTGTGATGTAGCTGGGTTTCTTCCAGTAGATGTGTATGCCCTTGTTGCCTTGTAGAGCAGAACTACAGTCTGAAGTTCGGATACCATTGGCACCACGGTAGCTTTGTCTTAAGCAATTCTTGGTTCCGATGTTAACTATTGGTCCAAGATAGGGTACGTCATCGGGGAAGTCACGGACGTAGGATTCCGGGTAGACGTTGTCCAGGAACCATTTGAAGCCCTTGCACTGTAGTTCTTTTCTTAGTTTGTTCATTCTCGTAAGGTTACCAATTTCCTCGAATTTGGGGCGTCCTAGGACGTGCCATGAGAGGTCTGCGAACTGATCCATCCAGGAGGCAATCGTTCTCATGCGGTTGACGGAGGTGCTGCCGCCTTTCGTTTTGTAGTGTTTGCCTCCGCCGAACATGTGGTTTACTCGGGAACACTCTGTGCAGAGTAGTTTGCCACCGCATTGCCATAGTCTGAAACTGAATTCCACGTTTTCTGCGCCCCATCCAGACATTTCTGTGTCGTAGCCTCCGATCTTCAAAAACCACTCTTTGTTTGCAGCGAAAAGCCCGCCTGCCATTGTGGGCGAGGAGACATAGTCGGTGGGTCCGCCTAATACGCGGTCAGCTGGACTCACACCGGGCTCAGGCTTGTAAGCATGCTCCATCACGTTCCAAATCAACCCAATTGTGCAGCCCACACCACCCTTCTGCAATTCCAAAGTGGACTTGTCGATGCCATCGATGTGAGGCATAGTGACAATGGACGGATCACTACCAATAGGATACAGCAGCGGCTCCAGCCATCCCGGCTGGCACTCGATGTGTGAGTCTAGAATAACGAATGTCTCGCTCTTAACGGCGTTAATACCGGTCAGTCTGGCGCGCACAATACCGCTCCTCTCGCCAGTGCGGATGAGTCGTACCTTTGGCAACAAGGCAATATAGTCCTCGAGCAAGCCGGTGCCGCCATCTTCCCTGGATTTGATGTAGGGGCGGTCAGAGCCGTCGTCGACAAGTATAATTTCGTCAAGTAGGTCTGGAGGGGAAGTGTTAAGTGCCGAGTGAACAGAGCGGAGCAGCGTCTCGAACGGCTCGTTGCAAAAGATGAACACCACGCTGGTCTTGGGGACACGGTTGCCATACTTAAGGCCTTTACACTGGCTGAGACGGAAATCCTGGGGTTCACGATCCAGGGGAAAGCGCAGGTCATCAGCGTACGTTGGGTGTGACCAGTTCCCGGGCTTCGGGATCTGACTTAGGTCTCCATGATACCTCACAGACGCCGTGTCCCTTCGCAATGCGTCCCGGCCCACTTTGAAGTTGAGGTCCGCAATCTGGGCCACTAATGTGTCGCTACCGGGAGTACCGACCAACGGCCGTTCGTCCCGGAGCAGAGAGAAGAAGCCCCAGAAACAGAGTCCGAAGGCTGCAGAACAAAACAGTAGTTTAAGAATCTTCGGAATCGCCCGCGAACTCCGCCATTGATCCCGCGCATCCGATGGCAATAGAGCCTCCAAACGACGAGCCAGAGCAAGGAAGAGGTAGTGACCGCGTGCCAACAGGCCCGGACCAGTGGGTCTGGACTCCCCAACTGGTCTGGACTCAGCAACGATCGGCGACGCGCTCATCAGAAATAATATATGCGACTTGGAGGGGTGCTTCTAGTTGGGTTCGGTGTTAGTCGAGCGGTGTGGGGAAAGGTGGTGGGCTGCACGGTCGTGAAGCCACCGGATCTGCCACATGTAACCGACTGGCTGGCTTTCCACGAGGCGCAGGGCGTTGAAGAATTCCTACTGTTGTACGAAACAGGTAATGATCGACTGCTGGGATATGCGGCCAACCAACTAGACCTGCTGGCAGAATGGCATAGAGACCATGGGTCCGGTGTTGGTGGCACGCGGCTGTCAGTTCAACCTACGCCCGGTGGCAACTTCAATGCGACAGATACCCAGGCACTTGCATTTGCCTGTGGTAGCTACTACACTAACGCACCTCCGCGTTGGATATTGGGTTTGCCGGATGTGCACACCTATGTCTTCGTAGACGAGTTGACGTCGCACAATCAAGTCCTCACGTTGGCAGAGGCTTTGGGTCCCCTCCCAGCACGTGTGTGCGATGTCCAATTACCGGTGGTCCGTGCGCCGGTCTACCCCGCCCGCGCCAGCCTGATTCGCTACGGCAAGCACATGGCGGAAGACCCCGCCAGCGGCTACATCGACCAGTACTATGACCCGCGCGACTCACCGCTTTACCGAGCTTTCGTCTCCCGTATCCCCGACCGGCTGCTTATGTACCCCAAAAATGCGGCTGAGGTACAGCAACTCTGCGACAGCATTCGAGTCAACTCTGTCCTCACCGAAGAGATCGCCGGCCATGAACAAAGGGGTACTGATGCCCTCTATGCCAGCCAGAGCACTAAGGTGCCTCTGCTGCCACCGCTCGTGACCCGGAGGGAAGATCTGAAGAAATTCTGCAAACTGCTCAGCACGCGAATCCAGGAAACGGATATGACGACGCTTAACTATAACCTGCTGGACAGTTTAGACGTACTGTATACCCGACTCTGGTTCACGATGTACCCCAGCCGGCTCCGGAACCTATTTGTCTTTCCGAGAGTAGATGACAAGGCGACCACGGTGACCTGGGCTTCATACAACTGCCCCGAAGACCTCTCCTTAACCAGCAAACCGAGAAAAACCAGAAAGGCCCAACAAACCACGTCCGTCACACCTCGGTTCAGACTCATTGCTCTGGACATCGCCGACCGTAGCAGTCTGGATCATGTCAGTCCTATTCAACCGGCAAACAATGCAGCCTTATATGCCGTCGCTACCAAAGGTCTTAGAACCCTCGAAACAAGATTACAACCGAGACCGCGCTTCATGCGCACTCAACACCCACGACCCAACGTACCCATCGCTAACAACATACATGCCATCTGCGACGCGGGAGATGTCTGGAGCGAACGAAAGGTTCCCTGTCCTAACACCTTCCCCTATGTTGGCCAAGGCATGCACAAAATTCCCCCCGCCAGCCCCTTATACGTCTACGGCTGGTGCAAGAAGGCACCCGCATCCAATTTGAGACAAGCTAAAGGTGACAATATACACACCTCAAACGATATTTATACACCACCCACATGTCTCACACATTCTTCCCGTCCCTACACACTCCATTGTGTTTAGACTTGGCTGAGTTCCATCGTCAGAGCCGTTCATTTACTAGCGTCGACCAGGCCGACCTCATCATGTGTCCCGGCTGGCCGGAAGTATCCTGTTGCGATCACATAGCAGACACGAACGTCTATTCCCACTACGAACACAGAATCAACACAACCCACCCTAATCCATGGGGAGGATTTTCTCCCTGCGGTGACTGCCGGGTACCCAAGAACGATAGGATGCTGGCGGAGCGGATGCGTGACCAGATACTCGAACTCAACCCGGATTGGTGATCACCATTGTAGAATTATGAGGAAGCCGAACATGTTCGGACGATGGGGGTATATTTCCGTGTGTTTGCCACAATGTGTTTGCCACAAATGTGTTTGCCGCAATGTGTTTGCCCCCAGGTCTTGTGATGGTGTAGTCAAATGCGATAGGGGCACATGTATACGGTGGAGATGGGTGTCCGTGTCGCGTGGGAATTGATCAAAAGTGAGATAGGAGGGTTGGGTCAAAAGGGAGTTTGGTGAAAAGGAGTTGATGTAGGCACAGTGAAAAGTGAAAGGAGGCGGTTAGCCATCTACCCAGCCTCCGTATAATTTCCTGGCTAGCTACGGAGGTGCCAGTTGTTTGGTCGGCCAGTTGTTTGGTCGGCCAGTTGTTTGGTCGGCCAGTTGTTTGGTCGGCCTTTGAGGTCTAATTTGAATTGCATTGAATCAGATCACCTTGACAAGTCTGGTTGCGTAACCAGACCTGCCAAAGGTCGTCACACAAGTATCGTGTCGTTACACACAGATCTTGCCCCAGTAATTGCGTTCCCGGGTGTCTTCTCTTGTGGTGAGACTTCGGTGGAATCCGCTGCGTTGGGTCGGTACTGATTAATTTCTATGGTGGTATTGGTGGAATTTAAAGTAGAGTAAGCGCATTTGTCAACGGTGGGTTGGTGGTGGTCCGAAACGGGGTGGTGGTCCGAAACGGGGTGGTGGTCCGAAACGGGGTGGTGGTCTGCAGTATAGTTACTGCGTCTGGTTGCGGCAACAATTCCAGCAAAGGTGGCGATCCAGAGAGTCAGATTCAGTGCCCATTGTACAGAAGGGGGGATGTGTAGGATGTCAAGACCCCAGCTAATACAGCCTCCCAGGTTGATGAGTGCTCTACTGAGACCAACCAGTCGGTTGCGAGATTGTGCAGATCCCACAGCCAATTCAGCCAGAAGCCAAAATGTAATATTCGCACTCATGGTTTCAAGGGCACCATATGCAAGGAAACACAGGGCCATCCAGCGCCCTTCTTGATCAGTGAAATCTAGTAAGAGAGTGCCCAGTGGCGGGCCCGACAGGGCCCTTATTGCTGTTCCACAACCCAGGCACAGCAGCATCGTCAAAGCTCCCACGGACCTGTACACGCGAGTCTGGAGAGATCGCTTACCGCCAGCACTACTGGAGACCAACTGAAAAAGAAAGGAACCTCCAATGCGCGCCACATAGTACCAACAAGAGTTAACCGCTCGACTCCGAATGTTAAACAGTTGGCCGTTAAAGTAGTTGAACAGGACCACCTCATGCCACACATTGATCAAAAATAGCGGCATCAACAGGTACAGGAACCTAAACAAACAGGTATAGGAACCTAAACAACGCACACGTCTGGCGCACGATTGTACACCTCACCATTACGGAACAAGGTGTTTGTTAAGGTAAGCGTTGGTGGGTTGTTGGGTAAACGTTAGTGGACAAGTGTTGGTTGAGGGAAAGGTTCTGAACGTACGGGTTCGCAAACTCAGCGGGCAGCGAAACGATTTCTCGTTTGAGATCCGCGTGATCCAACTCCGGAGTTGTCTCGTCCGTTCGGTAAACCCTTTCTTTTAGCAAAAGGGCAGCAACAAGTACTCCAGCCACGGTGACTGCGATTACGGCCAAGTACGATTCCGGTGACAGAGCTACAGTAACGGTAGACTGGAAGTTCATGTACATGGCTATCAAGCCTCCCACCAGCCCTCCCAGGTTAAGAATTGCTCCAGATACCGCAATGAATTTTCCTCGTTCAGAGGCAGTTGGATAGTGAATTAAAGCGGTCCCAATTGCACTCGTAAAACACGATATGGCCACACTTGATAATCCATTATAAATGACAACTATCGGTAGTGGAACCACATGCAGATAATAGTAACAGAAATAGGCCATGATAGTTGTGGACTGACCTGCTAATCCTACTAAGGCCGATGCTTTAATCCCGCACACATTCACTATCCCTCCTCCGATCAGTCCTCCTACAATCCCTGCCAGGTACATTGTTGAATTACAGTAGTGCGCCAAATGCTCGTCATCCGTACCCAGAGAGCCCAGGGCGTTCAGCCCATTCCACATACCCACCGACGTCAAATGGCAGACTGCCAGCACAATCACCTGAGCGTATGACCATGCCAGCATCTGACCAAAAAAAAAACAAAACAAAACATCAACCCCAAGGTACAGTGTATATCTCGGCCAGGCTCGCATCCTGCTCCAACATTCGCAAAGGTCCACCGCTCATGAACACGGCCTAAAATACATGTGATCTATCAATTTTTAGGCCGCGCACACACGTGTGCAACCTGCCCAATCTCCCCCCCTGCCCCCCTCCTCCCCAAGCAAGTCCTTACCCTAACGCTGAAGCTTGTGCTCAATGTCAACTCGTCTTGCATGAGCTTTCTACTCCTTGTTATCGTGGCTGTTCCTTCGATCTTGGCTAGTATGATGTCTCCCTTCTTGCGCGAGGCTAGAGTAAAGCTATGGCTCAGGTCGGCATGAGTTTCTAGACTTTGCCGAAAGAGCCAAGCTAATAAAGTTTGTTCGTCTTCAGCATGTGCGACAACCTTTTCAATCTTTGCCCATATATAACCGGCTATTTTGTTAACTAGCCGGGACTCAATGGCCGGGTCGGGTAGTCTGTTCTTGAATGCTTTCCGGAGCCGATCTCCTAGCAAGCGCCCGACAGCCTTTCGTGACATGATAGTCTTGACATCAACATTGATGCTTTCTTCCACCGGAACCACCACCTCATGGGTAAGTAGTTCCACAAGGTTGACTCCACCCCGAGCAATAGCCCCGCATAGTCGAGGAAACTTCCTCCTGACCTCCGTCGAGTTCATTAACCATTCGGTGCTTTGATTCAAAGCTGCCATTCCGTTGGGGGGCATCCCGTTAGGGCCCATACCGTTGGGGCACATCCCGTTGGGGATCATCCCCTTGGGAGGAATGCCGTTGACGGGCATTCCGTTGACGGGCATTCCGCTGGCGGGCATTCCATTAGCAGCCATCCAGTTGGCGGCCGAGCGGTTGTATTCCGCTATAGCATACTGTGGTCTCATATACGGGTCCGCGTAGGGACCACTAGAAGTGGGTACGGAAAAGTATCCAGGAGTCATGTAGGGCGTGACCGCTCCAGGATTCGCGGCCAGCATTCGGTTGCTAGGTGCCAACGCCGCGGTTCGAACAGCGGTTCCGTGTAAACCACCCGGGCCCAGCAAAGAGTTGCCGGGCGACATCATCAGGTGACCGCCGGGACGCTGGTTGCTGACGACGGCACCAGGGGCCGGAAACCCGTTCGCGTGGTAGCCAGCGCCGGCAAGAAGGTTGCCGGAGGCCACGCTCATCGAGGGCACACTCATTACTCCGTTCGGCGTCAGCACCGGGGACATAAGTCCAGTATTTGCCAGACCACCGTTCCGTCCAAAGTTCCGGCCGGGCGTGTTCACGAACGCGGGACTGCCACTGCCTAGGACGGAGTTGCCCATCATGCCCATCACGGGACCGCGCATCATGGCATGTCCCATCATGCCATTGCCCATCATGGTGCTGCCCATCATTGTGCTGCCCATCATGCCGTTGCCCATCATGCCGTTGCCCATCATGCCATTGCCCATCATGCCGTTGCCCATCATCCCGTTGCCCGTGACAGAGTTACCCATGACAGCGCTGCCCATGACAGCGTTGCCGTTGTATTCAATCGAATTGTACGGGTGGTGCATCTCGACGGAGTTGAAGGGGTCAGCGTTCCGGAATTGGGGCGCAGCGCCAACGAGACTGGGAGCATAGGCCGCGAGGAGGTGTGGAGGGATGTACCCCTTCGTAAGTAGCTCTTGAAGCAGGGCAGCGGGAATGACGGCTGTGGCCTGTCCGAGGTTGATGGGTCCGCCGCCTGGCTGAGCTGCGGAGTACCCCGGTGGGCGCTGTAAGGCAAAAGCTTGCTTCTGGAGCCGTCGCAAAGCTCTACGTCGAGAGCCCGCGGAGTCGGCGGGCTCAAAGCCCATGGAGGTTTCGATGCTCGCCATGGTGTGTCCGGGACTAATTGAGGACGTAGACGACCCGTTGACGCTCTTGGTGTCCGCCAAATTTGACGCAATCTCTGGCGACACTTCTTCCACAGGGGCCAGAGGGGGCGGTGCCAGCGAGTTCCGGGCCAACGGAGCCTGTTCCGAACGGTGTTCTGAACCTGTATGTTCTAACCGGTATTCTGAGCCTTCTACATGCTGGGGGTCTGCGATATGCTCGGGGTCTGCGAAATGCTCTTGCCCTGAGAGATGCTCTGACCGCAAGATGGCCGGCATCAGCGAATTCAAGAAGACAGTACTGCTGCCATCAGATGTAATTCTCATTGTTGCGTCCTCCGGGGGAACCAGTCCCACTCCCGGACCGATCCGTTGACTCGGCTCAATGTCGAACACGGGCAGCGGGATCTGCGGTCCCGGCCGTAACGGTGTAGGCCGCATAGAATCGCTCAAAATCGTCGACGAAAACTCCGGCGGCGCACCTTCCTCAAATTCAACTCCATTCGATCCGAGGCCTCCGATTGATCCAACGCCACCAACCGACCCTAGCCCGCCGAAGGACTCGTTCAGTGATACCGTTGCAGTATTCCCGTTGGTATACTGAGTATTTGCCGGGAACTGTAGAGGCGTGGCTCTGTACATATTAGTGGGAAAAAATGGTCTTGCCACCACCTTCGTTCCCCGGTCACCGACCACTCTCTGCAGCTCCCTCCCCTCCTCTCCTACCTCCTGTCTGACAGTGGACTGCGTTGGGGCACATCTCCATTGATGTCTCAGCAAGCCGAAGTTGGTGCGAAAAACGTCTGTATTTATCCGGAGACCAGTCCCACAAGGAGACTAGCCCCCACAGCGGACGTCCCAGAACCGACGTCCCACTCATAACGGTCTCCCCCACAAAGTTCTTCCGCCCGCAGACGTCGGTTCGCGGAGCACAAGAGCTTTATTCCAGAGACAAAGTCCACTACAGCGCCGCAGATAAGGACCCGGGCGGATGGTGGCAAAATCCGTCGCAGCCCACATGCGACGTGGCCCGAATTCTCGGTCGAGGTGGCTCCTCGAGCCGCCTCCTTGACCCACCTCCTCCACACAGGATCAATCTGTGGTCGCTCAAGAAACCTTGAGTCGCATTTGAATAAGAACATCCATGAACTAACTACTCTACAGGAAACGACTCATCATAGTCTGACTCTTCTTCACTTTGTTCTTTATGAAAGACGGTCTTGTCCTAAAGGCACACACGATATGACTACACGACAAGACTACACGACAAGGGTACAAAACATGGGTACAAAGCATGGGTACATGAGATGACTGCGTGTAGACGGCGTGCCGTGTCCTTGATACACAGCATGTGTCTTACATATGACCACAATTGCCATTCATTATTATCGGATACAGATGAGATGTGGAATTCGTGTTCTTCGTCTGGTGCCCAGCAGATATCTTGTACTGCAGTTGTGTGTCCTTGGTGGACGAAGAGTAGTTCGGGCGGTCCGTCTTGTGCGTTTTCTGCTGACTGTTCTTTCCCGATATCTCTAAGATCCCAGACGACGACTTTTCCTTCGGCGCCTGCGGAAGCAAGTAGGTAGTCTCTATGTTCATTAAACGCGACGGCGTTGGATCCTTTGTCATGATGTGAGAGTCGTGCGAGAGGGTAACCACAATTGCGGATGTCCCATATGCAGACATCAGTTCCGGTACCACCAGTGGCTAGAAGGTGTGCCTTGAACTTGTTCTGAGAAACGGCATTGAAGGCGTCTGTTGGGTCCTTGACGACAGGGAAAAAGGCATGTTCATGATCGCTGATCCGTCCATCCCATACGCAGATTTGACCGTCATCACCAGCGCTAATAAACATAGCAGGATGATCAATATGTGGTATGACACACTGGACGGCCTTAGTATGACCTGTGCTGTAGGTACTGACGGGTGTTATGGTCTTCGCAGCCTTCCAGGCACTTTTACCGCCTGATGTATCATGCGGTGACTTGTGCAAATTCCACGTACAAATTCGATGGTCATCTGACGAAGTTAACAATTGCTCACCATCAAACAACGACCAAGCTAAACCCCATGCCGCAGAGTCATGACCACATAATCGAGCTACCACACTCTCATGACCATCACCCTCCTTAATACGCAAACCCGCATCAATCGGCTCCGTATCTTTCGGAACCGAACGATCGAACACTATGCTTTCACCTGATGCACAAACACATCCTGCTAATAATGACCCCTCCACCCGACTCGCTCTAGCTCGATGGATCTCACCCAACGGGATATGAATACGCTTCCGGATGTTGTACACCGGCTTACCCTCGCCATATTCGAAACCCATTCGATCCGAGCGCACTCCGTACTCACGATTTTCCATACTCACACCGTGAGGACCACCCAATGTCACATCCACCAAATACACGTAGTTCTCACGCGGACCATCTGCGCAAGTACCCAATAAGAACTCAGCAACTGGAAAAGAATCAGACCTACATTAGTAAACATTCACCACCCCTTGGGAACGGTCTTGCCTACGGTCTAAGGAGGACCTTACACCTTGCCTAAGGTCCTCCCTGCAGGGTCATAGACCTGGGTCTGTAGGGTCTCACTCCCCCGGCCCATTGGTGTTATTGTCGGCCCCCCGGCCCTTTGGTGTTATTGTCGGTCGCTGACCTCATGTTCTCAATTCGGGCCCATTATAAATGCGAGTGAGTCTTACCCAGGTTGAGTACTTAACCACTCCAAAGACAATGCGGGCCACTCGCAACTGTAGTTATTCAGAAACTCATAAAGGAGTCCCGTGTTATCTTGCCAGCTCTTGCGTTCATCCATCGACAACAAAATAAAAATCTGCCCCGACCCGGCGACCTCTCCACCTGGGACCGATCAATAGCACGTCTGGCAATTACATTGGGAAGCGCCTACTGTGGGAAGCGTGTCCGCCTACTGTGGGAAGCGTGTCATTCACCGCCTACTGTGACAACCTACTGTGACCGGTAGGGGTGGTCGGTAGGGGTGGTCAGCTGTGTGGTGCGGGGGATGTGGTGCGCGAGAAACGAGGTGCGAGAAATAAGTGATGAGTGAACGAGAGGCAAGCCAAGTCGAGAGCGTGGCAGGTCCTCGCGGTCCGCGAGGCGGTACCGCTGAGGCACTGTCTGCAATCGGTCCCTTAGGCGGTGTATCAAACAACCCGTTAGGCGACTCGTCTAACACTGGGTCGGGCGGTGCGTGGAAAAGTCCCTCAGGTTACGCCGGTTGTAGGGTTCACCGGCGGGACGGGTTTCGATATGACGTTCAGCCGGCACATTCGGCGGCACATGCGGCGGCATGTGTGAGCCGTGTGCTTTTGTATCAGCCGTTGTTGTGTGAAATGTGGGACCCAGGATTTGTGGTGAACCGATACCGGAGTGTGGCAGAGGAACGTTTGCTATTGAGTGTACAATGTCTGTCATCGTTAGACAGACGGCACCGACCGGCTGCGACATTGGTAGCGCAAGCAACACGCGAAATTCGTGCGGCTATCGCGGCCCGGGACGCGGATGTGTGCGCGTACTTTCTAACACGCCGGACGGAACAGGCTGCACGGGATATTGCACACAGTGCCGCTACTCCCGCACCCTCCGCACCCTCCAGACGCCCACCGGGCCAACTCACACTCGAACAGGCCTTCGGCCTTCCGCCCCACCGCGACCCTGTCTGGACAAGAGTCCGAATGGCCGCAGCTGCAAACGCCACAGGTCTAGGCGACCCGAACGACCGAAACGTATTGGGGGCTATTCTTGTGGGGGCCACCCCTGTGAGGGGTACCCCTGTGAGGGGTACCACTGGGAGGGGTACCACTGGGAGGGGTGCCCGCACTGTGGCTGTGCCAGGCACAGACCTCGTGGCGGCGGCGCCGATGGCGGTCGAACTCGTGACGACGGCGCCGGCGGCGGCTGCGCAGGAGACGACGTTCGAAATTCTGGTGGCCCTGTACCACCAGCGATACTTCCCACCAAATCCGACCTTGCTAACGCCAGGGCTGGTGAATCACCGGCTGTTGGACCCGCTAGCACAACGAAGACCGGGTCGGGAGTTGCAGACGCGGCCAGGTCGGGACCCCCGACCAGAGTGTGCGGCCGCTCCGCTGCCGACGGAGCTGCTGCAGTCGGTGGCGAGTCGCGAGTTTCCGGAACGGGCCTCGGACCTGGCGCTGTGGCAGTTCGGACTTCAGGCCGTTACACGTTTCGCTCTCCCTTCCACCGAATTCACTACTCATCGCCGCAGTAGGTTTCGCTCCCTCGCTGTCCGCTGAAACCGCCCTCAAATCGCACTACACTCTGGCCACTCTTAACCTCCTCGTGCGCTGGGTGCAGACTCCCGACCGCCAGACCCCAACCGAACCTGCAAGAGGCAGGAACCCGCAAAAGCTTGTTACGCAAAAGCCCGCCATGCAAAAGACCGCCATGCAAAAGACCGCCCTGCAAAAGGCCGCGGCCGGCAGAAAAACCCGATCGCAGTCGCGATCCAAGAAGAAGCCGGGTGCACCACCCAAAACCGCCAAGAGAACTAACTAAGTAACTCCCCGGATGAAAATGTTAACTCACTGGGAACTCACTCGAACACGTGTGCGCGAACGCGTGCGCGAACGTGTGCGCGAACATGTGCGCGAACGTGTGCGCGAACGTGTACGCGAACATGTGAAACCATGCCACATGCGACTCGCCTCCAACCGGGGGAGCACCACGAGATGCGGGACGCAGGACGGTGTTGTGAGTGCGCATGCGCGTCAGTCTTGGAGACCCTGCTAGAGTACAAGTCTTGCATCCCGGATCTCATTAAAATGGAGGACCACCAAGCGGTTCGTTTGAATCCGGATGAAGAGCGCGTTCTCCACGAATTCCTTGTCTACCATGCCGAGGCCGAACGGCTCAAGAAAGGTCCTCTAAACCTGCCGACTGTGCGCGAGGTTTTTGTGCAGACATTGACAGCACTCCTGAGAACTATTCTGTTTCGCAGAATCCACGAACGAGCCTTGCGAGCGTGCAACCTAACCAAGCAATACATGCGAGCCAACGGCACCCCACCCCGATTGCTCCCCGGTCTTGCTGACCCTCTAGCCAGTCGATTTGGTGCCCGTTTCGACGTCTGGTCCAACAGTTAGTCACATATCGGATGAGAACCACCAGAGCGGGACAGGGGCGACGATCAGGGGGTCATCGCGCAAATATGTATGGGTCGGTTCTGGGTGCCCCTCCTCCATATTTTTTTCTGTGGAACACCCTTTACCTCCTAGAGTTGCTTGCTACCTCTTTACGTTGTTTGCCTCTTTACGTTGCTTGCCTCTTTACATTGTTTGCTGAAGCATATTCCCCAATTCGGACGACCCTCCCTTAGACGGTCCCATTTTTCGATCCGCCAGCTCTTCGGTGTTCCCAGCCATGAATAACGAGGGGCGTGTATCGCCTGTGCCTACTTCCGTCTCTGCGTCAGTTCCGGCGACAGGTGGCGGTAAGGCGGAGCAACTCTTTCGCCAGACCTTGGATCAGTTCTCAGCCGCACACATCAAGGATGCTACTGGCCAAGTTAACTTCTCGAGATTCATCAACTCGTTATATATGCCATACCTGGCGGAAGACCCCGTGTTTGCGAGCTGGCTGCAGAACGACGACGAGGACATCGTGGGTGATCCTTCCTCCGAAGGACCCGACCCCGCTTCCCGAGTGGAACGGCCCTCAAGTGAACTGGACCGAATAGAACCAAACCGAAGGGAATCAAGACCAGGCGGGCAAGTAGATACCCAGCAGTTTCAACGAACAAGTATCTTGCAACAAGCAAGTGTAATGAGTACGATTAGTCGTGAGTCCAGCCTGTTACCGGAACAGCAGCGAAGCGTCCAGGATGACGGGTGGTTCGACCACTTGTTTGGGGAGGATTTGAAGCTGCGTTCAGAGGGGCACTGTTCGTCGTTAATTTATGATTATGTTTGTACCTCCATTAAACTACTCGAGGCGAAGAATCGCGAGCTTGAATCCAAATTAGAACGCAAGCTCAACCAGTACCCAAAAGTGCAAACACGTTCAAAAAAGGTCAAAGACGAAAATGATGAATCACAAGAGACAGATCATTCCACCCTACTGGAAGCAGAAGTCTCCAACATCGCAGAAAATATCGTCTCTTCCAGTACTGCGAAGCGGCAGAGCCAACTGGACTTGTGGCGAACTTCTTGCAAAGCCCTTCTAGACGAACTCTTATTCGAAAGCTGAATAATGAGCACTACACATGATCCAACGTGTCTGCGTCCCCCGCATATAGATAGATAGTCGACCCAGACCATTACTGATTCAGACCATTACTGATTTAGACACCACTCTCCTCTTTTCGAAAACTCACGTGACTCAAGTACTCATGTGATATAACACGTGCGCGATATAACACTTGCGCGATATAACACGTGCGCGATATGGCACAAAGAAAAGTACGGCTTTAATGCGGATATGACTAGTGTGCATTGTCATGATAATCCAATCCTTGTGGACGGATGCTGAATGTCCTGGATACGGAATGGCAGCAGGTTTTGCTTTTTAGACAGAGAAGAGAATAACCTTCAAAGCGTGATCGGGGGTCCACGTAATAAACATAATCGGCTAAGTGGCATGCCATTATTTCGCCATCGGACATAGACGCCCACAAGCTTCCAAGATCGCCGTTGTCATTCTCGAATTTATCGGGCAGGATATCTGTGCACATCTGACCACACACGTGATTATCGAATCCCTCATCTTCATCCACTAACAGCCTATCTGTGACCATCATAATGATGCGGGTTTCCGAACATCGTTTCCGAATAATGTGAGCGACAGCCACGTCTAAGGAGATAGAACTGTCCAATATCAGCAGGCCCGAATCATTCGGGTTGGGATCGCTGGGTGTGATAGCTAGCAATAATTCGCTATCGCAGGCGTGCGACCACAAAAAGCTGCGTTCAATCTTCAGAAGCTCGGGTGCATGAGAAGCCGTAAGCACACGGGCACAATCGAAGTTATGATCGCAATACCTACCACATAGGACCTGGGCCAACCTAATGCTGTTTAGGTTGGTTCCAATCCAGTGAGTGTTCTCCTGCACCCCGTCAAAAGTCAACTCCAACATAGCGTGAAGATCTGTACCTATCAACACGATCATTGCTCCCGCCGGCCCCAGGGGGAGTGGAGACGGGTCGTGCTCTAATAAGCCATCTCGTACGCGTAGGGCAACTTCATCCAAATCGACTGTTAGATCATTGACAGTATTGTGCTCACTCTCTGGTTGTGCCGCCTGACGAGTGCATGACTCTCTCTCGGCCAGGCTGCTCCGCTGACTGGCCTCGAACTCATCCAATGAAAGACAAGATCCCCAAAGCTCTAACAAAACTTCCTTCTTCACTTTCTTCAACCGTTTGAAGGTAGGAAGATTATAAGGTAGGTTGAGTAACGATATGGTCTCGTCATCGCGTAACATCATCATCATTGCCCTTTTAAGCATACCTTTCATACTACCATGGGGGCTACCACCACCATGGGGGCTACCACCACCATGGGGGCTACCACCACCATGGGGGCTACCACCACCAAGAGAGCTTGGTAGACGGCCATCGTTGTGGTTATCGGTGTGGTTATCGGTGTGGTCATCGGTGTGGTCGTCGCTGTGGCCTGTCATGGAATACTGGACCACTTTTGCGCAGCCAAAATTAGCCGATTGTGGCGTCTGATGTGCAATCGGATGTCCTCAACTAGTTCTTGACAAGTTTCTTCGACGTTGAGTCGACGCGATTTAGCGAGCGTGGGAATCTGGGACAGGAGGTGGGAGAGTCGGTCGATTTGCTTCTCAACGTTCAAGCACGGCACGGTATGTAACGCGTGGTCCAGGAGCATTTGCGGGTTGCTCGCTACTGGGTCCTGCGCTGAACTGTTACGCCGTTGCGATCCAGTTGGCTGCGATCCAGTTGGCTGCAACACTGTTGGTAGTAGCTCTGTTGGTTGCGACCTATGAGTCGGCATGTTTGCTGGGTCAAGGGAACAAACAGACTCTTCGACAGAGACAGCCGAGCTGGAGGCCGGAATAAGACTGGCGGCAGATGTCACTGGTCTAAGGTTTAAAGGTGGCTCGTCCAGAGGCGGTCGGTACGACGGTCGTCGTTCTGAAAAGTTGGGCTGTGAAGGGTAGGAGTGAGGGCATTACTTAAACATGCAAGGTACGCTTCCCCAAGCGGTAAGAGCTCCGGGTCACAAGTAGCCAGGGCCTTCCGAGCTTCCTGGATCACCTGGTGCATGTTGTGTGATAAAATCCAAGGGTATTTTCTAATGGCCCCTTTTCGCAAGCGACAAAGGCGTCTCAACTAACGGAAGTTCTATTTGCCGAACCTGTGGGGTCGTGGGTGTTGGCAAGAAACAGGACATTTTGAGTATCGAGGTGCTAGGAGGGAAAATAATTTTAGCCAGGAGGCGGGCGGGGCTGATTTTTTAAGGAGATGGCTGGGGGCATCGGTGTAGTAGAAACATGCGGTACCCAGGTGTATAACTTGAGCTACTCGAAATCGCTTCCAGAGTTCATGGAGGAAGCTATTCAGTCTCAAACCAGCTTAAGGTAAGGGGGTGGGTGCACTGGTGATTAAATTTTCCGGCTGCAGGAAGAATAAGGAGTTTAAAGACCGGTTGGAAGTTATTCATGGCTTCGAATTCTCAGCTTCCAGCGCCAGAGTACGTGTGAGCGAGGATGGTCAGTACATTGGGTCCGTTGGAATGTATCCTCCGGACATAAAGGTGTATGATACTGATGATTTATCCATCAAGTTTCAGCGAAGAGTGGATTTTGAGATACTGGATTTCTTGTTTCTAACAAGAGATTACAGAAAGATGGTGTTTCTTGAAAATGATCGAACTCTGGAGTTCCATGGACAAGGAGGACGACATCATAGGGAGCGACTACCGACCTTTGGGAGAACGCTTGAATATAATAACTGGGATGCGGAATTACTGGTCACGTCTGCGAGCCCTCATGTATACCGACTGGATCTCAGCGAAGGGAAATTCTTGACGCCCTTCGAAACATGCATGTCCGAAACTCTTTGCAGCCGCTGGAACGGCAAACAGTTATATGTTGGCGGGGAAGCAAGTGTGTGCGAAGTGTTCGATCCGCGCGCAAACAATATTTCGATCGCGAAATTTGAAGTGCTGGAGGAGGATGATATCGTTAACGAGGACCTGGGCGCTAAGATTACTGCCCTTGATGTTTGCCCTGCATCCTACTTGCAGAATGTGGCTTTTGGAACAAGCCAGGGCATCGTTAAGGTTTTCGATATGCGGAATACTAGCCGGGCAATTGCAGTAAAGGACCATAATGTTGACTCGGTAATAACAGATGTAAAGTTTGCATGGATGAAGAATGAAGTCGATGAGGATCCTAATGTAATTATTTCCTCTGACGATCGATCAATTAAATTATGGAGGCCTTTGAGTTCGGGTAAAATATCTAATATGGCCGCGTTCGATGCACAGGGCAAGATTAAAAGCCTTTGCGTATATCCTAAGACAGGCATGATATTTGTTGCCCAAGATAATCCTCGAGTAGGCGTTCATTTCATACCTGATTTGGGTATTGCGCCAAAGTGGAGTCCGTTTGTTGACCAATTAATCGAAGAGATGAAAGAAACCAGGAATAACGCTATGTTTGACGACTTCGAATTTGTTACCCGCGCCGACTTACTCCGAATAGGCTCGTCTCCTCAAGAGCTGGCAGGTACCTTGAAACCCCATCAGCACGGCTACTTGATTAGTCGAAAAATATATCGCAAGATACTAGAGAGCAAGAAAGCAATGAGTGAGGAAGAAATCAAGACTCTATTGGTTCAGCAGAAAATTCAAGAGACTGAAGAAACCAACTTGCTACGGTTACACGTACCCGACAGGAAGCAAAAGTCGACTAAGCTGGACGAACAATTTGTGTCGCAGCTGCAAGATCTTACCAAAGTCAAAAAACAGAAGAAATCAAAGGCTGCCACTGCTGTTCTGTCTGACTCTCGTTTCCGCGGTTTGCTGGATGCTTGAACAGCTGTATTAAGGTTGAGTTGCTGGTAATCGTACCATCCGGCATCACATGTAGGCTCCGGATGTAGATTCCAGATGTAGACTCCAGATGTAGACTCCAGATGAATATATATTGCCTTCGGCTACAACGTTCACTAACGGTCTTCATTTACGGTCGCTACTCGGTGGTTTTTCTACTTTTTTCGAGTGACTACAATTATTGTTAATTCTGTTCACGAATTGCATGGCTTTCTATAGAAACATTTAAACGAATGCCAGTTAATTATTCTTACTGCGCTATTTAGACGCGCTGCACACGCGTGTGCCTTGAATGTCTGTCAGGGCAGAGCTCTTGGGTATTGCCGATGCAGACAGTCGAGAAGTCTTATACCGCCGCCAGTGGGCCGAGGGGCTCGATAGCGTCCCTGATTCGCTGCAGCGACGCTTGCAAAAGGTTTTGAAGCAGGGTAATGGATCGATGTCGGTGGCTCAAATGCGGGTTGGACCGAAGGTGATGACGGCTGCGGTGGTGGACAGGTTGATGTATATTTTGTACACCGCCGCTGACAGCCTAGGAGACGACGGATTCCATGAGCCGTGGGTAGTGGTCATACTCGAGTCGCTCCATTCGGAGTTGTCTAAGATCGGAGGCCGAGAGGCTTTGTTGGATGGATGCCGCAACCAGCCTTTGACGGACAGCAGCGCTGAGGGTCTGTTGAGGGTCAACGCGGTTATTGAGTTATCGTTTGCGCCCAATGGACGGTCATACGCGCACTTTACGAACCTGGCTCCGTCGTTGATTCCTCCATTAAGAGAAGGCATGAACAAGGTTTTGGATGTCTTGACCCAGAACAAGAAGATAAGCAATGAGCTCCTGATGGACATTTCGGAAAGCATTCCCTGGTGCAAGACACCAATTAATAGCGTACAGCGGCCGCTGGGAACGTCCCTATCAGGAGGCGGCGCTGAAGGAGGTCTCCTGAACTCGGGGGTCTGGTGGCGGTCGAACCAAATACCGGACTCGCGAGAGTCCTATGTATACCTGGATATCGAGGAGAAGGCTCGTGCCGTAATTGTGAACCACACAGTAGTGGCGTCATCCATCAGCGGAACGATCAGCATGGACGCCCACCTGTCGACCAACCGCTCTGATCACCGCGACGACGAGTCCATCGAGTGCCTCTTGATCAGCCGGAGTCCGGCGTGTGCGGACAGTCTCGGCCGAACCTCATTCGACTCGGCGAATTCGGGAGGATGTCCGGTAGAAGGATTTCATATGCGTAGTCAGGTTCCGTTCCTGACTACGACTAAGGCTTTCCAGAGTTCCTCTTTGGATAATTATCGCATTCATTACCATCCGTGTGTTGAGCGAGATGCTTACGGCAAGTCTACAAACCCGGCCGTGAAGAATCTTAAAGTGAGGTTTCCGCCAGAAGGGAAAATTGGTCTGATTTCGTATTTTACGACAGCTAAGAAATTCCAAATACCCTTTGAGATCCAGTCGAGTGTTATCCAATGCGGCCCCGGTATGCGACGACTGCAGCTAACGCTAACAACCACGAGCGCCCTATTCGGGAACCGACTATTGAACAATCAGACGTTGAAGATGATGAGGCCACTGGTGCGTATTTTTGTGTCAAGTGTGCAGAAGAGCTCAATGCCCACTATCGGGTACCTTATTGACCCCAATAGTATGACTCGTCCAAATGCGGATGAGACTACACTCGATTCCACTTCGCACGGTTCATCTGCACAAGGTACAACTGCGAGGGATACAGCTGCGCACAGTTCGGCTGCGTTACATGATAGTGGCGTCAATGACGGTTCGAGTCAACATATCGACTGGCAATTGCCTGAGTTGACAGAGACGAGCACCAAGGCCGAGTTAACTATTTGGTATATGTCGACGTGCAGACCGCGGGCAAAGATCTTCTTTACGGTGCCTCGATGGTCTTTATCGGGATTGACATTGGGCAACATGGCCTGTAAGGCTGGGTGTCGTGGCATACGACATATTCTTTCCGTTTCTACTGATTACACATTATAGTGACCTACTAAGCATGCTCGACTCGGAAGCCTCAGACTCGGGCGCTGTAGGCAAAATCCCTTCCCTCGAAGACACCGACTTTGACCTGGAATTTACTGAACTCCAGACCGACATAGAAGCTGAACTCACCAAGCGCCAATGGACCCATTACGCTGAGAGCTTCCTGCCGTTGAGCACGCTAGAAATAGAGACACATGACTCCGACACACATGACTCCGAAGGACCTGGCGCAAATCAGACTCCCGACGTACTCTCACTGACCAACGCTTGCTTAGGCACCACTTGCTATGCCTTTAAGACAAACGCTCTGGATGCAAACGCTCTGGATGCAAACGCTCTGGATGCAAACGCTCTCGACGCAAACGCTCTCGACGCAAACGCTCTCGATGCAGACAATTACGTTTTCCACGACTGGCCTACCGAGAGTTGCATGGCCGACGGAGGTCTACGTCTCGTCCACGTTCCCGTCGACGACCGTCATCACTTTATCCAAGCCGCACGTGTCATGGTCGGCACATGTCCTGACACCTGTCGTCCCTTCGTGACATGTGCCACGGCACAAACTGGACGGACGATACCCCGAGCAGTACTGAGGCACCACCCCCGAGTTTGCCGTCTTGCATACAGGCCTCTGCCTAACAAACCACAAAAACGCGAGCTAAAGACGACCTGTGTGTTGAAGACAAACGCGTGCAAGGATACTACCAGAAAGCACTGAAATCAGTGGGGGAAATCAGTGGGGACTCGAGAGAGGAGGAGTTGACAGAGGAGGACAGAGTCGACAGAAGTCGCGAACAGAGCACGACGTGTCTCTTGTGGCACGCGTCTCTTCTGGGGAACGCGGGACTCGAGCAAGAGGGTCGTCGCTTTTGACAGAAGGGTGGTGCATTAAAATGTTGTAGCTCTGGCGCGTTAGAAACCGGTGGAAAAGTGTGATCATGTGATGTGAACCTGCGATGTGAACCTGCGATTTGGTTAAGCGGTTGGTGTAATAAAAAAACAGATTGGGCATTGCCTTTCGACTCCGCTCTTCATTGATGAGCATCTCTTTGGCGTTAGTCTGGCACAACGGCCTCTCGACGAGCGTCCTTACCCCCAAGCGAGCACGAACACTTGAAATCGTCAGTCCCACTCGTCGTAGCGGTCCGCAAACGAAGCCGGTCCTCTCTCAGTCTTCGGGACCCGGTCTCTGATGGAGACCTCTGTTGTGCCTGCTTCAGGTCAGGGAGATCTTTTCAATGACGGTGTTATATGATGCCAACTCATTTGTGTAGCGAAGGGATTGTTATGTAATGGCAAAACCGCACAAATCGGCATAAACTTACCCGTCATAACAACAAGACCCCGTGTTCGGCGCGCGCGTGTTCGCCGTACAACAGACACACTCTTTTTTGGCCGACCAAGTTGGCCTCTCTGGTGCGTTCTGTTGCCTCTGTATTTTCCGATCATAATTACACCAAAGTCAGGCAGGACCTGGTTAGAAAGAAATAAGCTCTTTACGAAGTCTGGTGCAGGTACGTTATAGTGATGACTGTGAACAATGGTTAAAGTTAGTTGTGAGAAAATTATAAGGGTAGGTCAGTCGTCGTCGCCGCAACAGCCGCTGTTCTTTTTTTGGTCGTTAGCGCCGAGTTTAAGACCGCCTTTGAGTTCCCTGTTATATTTGTCGATGAAGTCACGATCTGATCGATTGGCACCGCCCCAATTGACGCCAGGTCCCGAGCCGCCATGATCCTGTGTGGTTGCAGCGGTAGCGTTTTGATGTATTTGTTTCATCAGGGCTATGAAGCAGTCGTTGACTTGACGACCAGTAACGGCGGAGGTTTCGAAGAAGAGGAAGCCGTTTTTTTGTGCAAAGGCCTGTGCGGTTTGGGTATCGACAGCACGGAGTGATGGGTCGTTTTCCACGAGGTCGGCCTTGTTACCTACCAACACAATAACCACATCCGGTTCCGCACTCTGTTTCAGGTCATCGGCCCACTTGCTCGTGTTCACAAAAGACGCCTTGTTCGTCACGTCGTAAACCAGTAACGCACCGAAGGCCCGCCGGTAATGTGTCTGTGTTATACTCTTATACCGTTCCTGTCCGGCAGTGTCCCAAATCTGCGCACGCACACTCACGTCGGGCGCCACGGCTACCTGCTTCGTAACAAACTCCACGCCAATCGTCGCCTTCGGCTGCTGCGGCAATGTCCCACGCGTGTACCGCGATACCAAATGAGTCTTCCCCACCGTCGCGTCACCCAACAGAATCACCTTGAACGACTGTCCCTCTTCACCAGCCATCCGATTTTAAAATCTCTTTTCCTTTCTGTCGAAAACGTCCACTACATCACACGACAACACACACCCCCTGCCCCTGCCCCCTGCAATCCACCCTATGCAATCCACCCCGCGTCGAACCACGCGTCGATCATTCTTTGACTTCTCCAGTTTCTTCTTCGCCAACTGGTTGTGAGTTGTCTGCTCTAACCCATAACACGTTATTACAACGTATAAACAATTGACCTAATTCACCAGCAAATTCACCACCCTTCCACTCCGAGGCTTGGTCTAATTGAATATTGAAATACCGATCGAATGATACAAGTTTGCCTAAAGTATGTTAAGTCGGAGCTGCAGCGGAGTTGTGTTCCTACCTCTATATTCAAGTCCCCATTTAAGTCGCACAGCTATTCGTTCACCTTGGAGGCTCATCAAAAAGGGTTTAGGGCACAATGTTTTCAATCCGGCCTAAGTCCAGAGGTGGTTGGGTCAGATGCTGGGAGGAGGGCGCATGAACATTTGTGAGGACCAAAGTCGGGTGTGTTAAACTGTAGTGTGTAAACTGTGGTGTGCGAACCTTGTTGTGGGGCGTGCGTTATGTGTCGGAGAGTGTGGTGGTGGAGTGTGCGTTACCGTGGTGGATGACATATCTTTCCTTCGATTTAACTTTGTTGGGGGTGATTTGTTAAATACGGTTGTTGGGGGCGATGACGGTGGTATGTTCCGGGTGCGAAATTGAGACGGAGAGCCGTTTGAAGTGTCCGAAGTGTGTGAAGCTGGGTCGTCAAGAGTATTTCTGCGGTCAGGAATGTTTCACGAAGCAGTACAAGACTCACTCGGAGCTGTGTCATAAAGCACCAGCTCCAACGATGGGCGCAGAAAGTCTGAAGGTGTATAAGGAAGATGATATGCAGACTTGGGTAAATGACGCGCGGTTGCGACCGTTCGTTGCTCTCGGGTGCGACTTCCCTGGATCCCTTAGACCGTGGCCTACGACCCCGATGAACGTCGTGCCTGAACACATTCCAAGACCGGATTATGTCGAAACTGGCGAGTCCCGACTCGAAGAACGAAGCAGGGCATATCCAATCCACGTTTATTGCGAGGAAGAACTGACACGAATGCGCGCTTCCTGCCGCATAGCACGTGAGGCACTCGACCTCGCACACTCTATGTGCAAGACCGGAATCACGCCTGTCGAAATAGACGACGCCGTACACCACTTCATCGTCGAACATCACGGCTACCCTAGTCCACTAAACTACTACAATTTCCCCAAGTCCTGCTGCATCTCCGTCAACGAGATTGTCTGCCATGGCATTCCCGACCTTCGCCCTCTTCGGGATGGAGATATCGTAAACGTCGACATCACCGTCTACCATCAAGGCATGCACGCCGATCTGAATGAAACCTACGCCGTCGGAACAGTCGCCGACGAGTCCCTGAAACTCATGAAATGTTCCTATGACGCCATGATGAAAGCCATCGCCATAGTAAGCCCCCTCCCCCCCCTCCGGGTCTGCCTGCCTGTCTCAGTCTGAGTTCTGCCTGTCTCAGTCTGAGTGCTACATACGTTCTCATTTTCCTCAGTGCAAGCCAGGAGTGGCTTATCGGGACATTGGTCGAGTAATTGAGAACCACTGCAAGTCAGAAGGTTTCGCGGTGGTGCGTAACTATACGGGCCACGGGATCGGTAGTCTGTTCCACACGACGCCGACCATTCCACACTATGAAATGAACAAGGCCAAGGGACTGATGAAGGAAGGCCACGTGTTCACGATCGAGCCCATGGTGAACGCAGGAAAACATTCGAATGACATGTGGCCGGACAACTGGACCGTATCCACATTGGACGGGTCCCGGTCTGCGCAGTTCGAGCACCAGATCCTCATCACTAGCGAGGGCGCAGAGGTACTCACCGCTCGACTGCCGACGAGTCCTCCCCTCGACTTTTAGTTCGTGAATAAAAACCGGTCATGACGAGAGGCTCAGAGGTTGATCTGGAAAGGAGGGGTGCCAGTTCGCAGCATCAGACTACAGCATCAGCTTTTTGGTTCTCATTGGGTAGTCCGAAAGCTTGCAGTCCGAAAGCTTGCAGTCCGAAAGCTTGCAGTCCGAAAGCTTGCAGTCCGAAAGCTTGCAGTCCGAAAGCTTGCAGTCCGAAAGCTTGCTGCTCGAGATCCATCACCGGTAAGGACCCCTCGTTGGACCGTACCCCAGCAAGAGGATATGGGAGTAGCGACGTCCAGAATATTCCGAGATCTGGGTCCGAAATCTGGGGGTCTGTATCTAGGGTATTTCGAAACCTCTGTGGCCGAATGATTGCGGGTTCCGTATCGATGGGCAACATGTCAGGCTCTGCCTGCGTGCGGATGTCTCTTGTTCGGACGGAGACGGTCATTCCCTTCTCGAAGGCGACGCTTTTTGTCTGGCCGACGCTCTTCGTCCGGGCGACGTACTTTTTCTTTGTCTCGTCGACGTTCCTAGACCTCTGTTCTATCGGGAGACAAATTGCGCCACGGCATGGCTGCTGTTGTCTTCGTGGCTACTAGCTATCTGTTCATTTCGAGGAAGTCCTCCGACAAGAGCTGAGAGCGTCCTCCCCTGAGAGCATCCTCGTTATCCGGTGAGAGCGGCGTCCTGCGTTTTCGGTGCTCATGGCATTGGTGGCCGCTGGCATTTATCTTGCTATTGGCCAGTTGTGTGAGCAGCGGCCACGTGAACACGGTCGTTGTGCAATGCGTGTGCTTGCGACAAACGGCGGTGTTTTCCTTCGCTGGCTCGGTCCCGGTGGCTGGCTCGGTCCCGGTGGCTGGCTCGGTCCCGGTGGCTGGCTCGGTCCCGGTGGCTGGCTCGGTCCCGGTGGCTGGCTCGGTGGCTGTTAGGCGACTGAAGGGACGATTAGAACGTTGGTTTCGGTGAATTGGGCGCCGATGGCTTTTTTGCCGGGTCCTAGATTGATTTCTTGGAGTAGGTTGGATCGTTGTGTATGAGTGGCAGAAGAGGTGACTTCGGTCATGGGTAGGTCGTCAGGTGGTGCGAGTCCACGAGTTTCACTTGCGGGGTCCCATAGTCGTACGACGCCGCGGTTACAGCAGGTGGCTACGAGTTGGCTGTTGTTGCTGAAGGAGACGGCGACGGGAAAGGGTTGGCCGTTGCTAGAGGTATTGACGTTGCTAGAGGCATTGACGTTAGGAGCATTGGCAGGGGAGATATCGAGTACCGCGAAGAGTTTGGCAGCAACGAGGTCCCAGACATGTAAAGTAGAGGAGTACCCGCCAACACATATGAGCCTTCCATTAGGAGCAAATGAGATGAGCCTGGGTTGTGAGATGCCGGTAATAGCTCCGACGATATCGGGCACGCGTGGGTCCCAGATACGTAGACGTGATTCGTCGGCAGAACCGGTCGCTAAAAGGATGGAGTTGGGGTGGAATGCTACGGCCTCAACAGCGCTGTAATGTCTCGGCAATACACGAAGAGGATTTGTACGGTCCATGCTCCAAAGACAAGCAGCGCGATCTTGATGAGCAGAAGCGAAGAGGTAACCGTAGGGGTCGACATCTACGGCGTTAACAGCACTGCCGCAACGGTATGTGTGAAGCTTCTGGGCGGTTTTAATGTCCCACAAAATTAGCTTCTCATCATAACCGCCACTGAGCCCTAAGGACATCGAGCCACCAGTTAGAAAGGGTGGGGCGAACTTGAAAGATATAGGTGTGCTGGCATGTCCAGTTAGACATCTTACACCTACATGTGGCTGTTTCGCTTCGCCTGCTGTGTTGTGGGTGTAGTTAATTTCCTGTGTTCGGTTCAGTATCACCAACTCATCCAACACGTCATCTTCCTTACCACGCGCGTGTTCTACAAATCCCCGAGCCCATGGCGTAACCACCGCCTCTGCATAAAGCTCTGCTGCATGTGCCCACTGCGATTCGGCCGCATCGAACACCCACAAACATGTGTTATCGCACACACACACTTGTCCTGTACCCACAGGGTTTACCACCGCCGAGTGTACCTGCCCTTGGTCAGGTTCCAAGGCCGGGTCACGGGAGGGCAAGCTCTTGCTGAAGAGGCCTCGCACTCGTTGGCGTTTAATCCGGAAATTAAGCACACTCGGTAGCAAATCCTTCCCCACATCTGCGCGACGTAGGAAGTTGGTATAGCGGCGCTTTGCCTCTTGGTCGATACGCCAGTCAAGGGCTGGCAACTCCTCTCCGGGAGAATTAAGACGTGTTGCATACGGCGTGCGGTACAAGGAAGCCAACTGTGCGGGCAAAACCGAGGAAGCCGGCTCCGGAGCGAAAGGACGAAAACTGGCGTCCAGATTCTCGCTACCCAGGTCAGGCGGTGGCAAACCGGAAAGCAGCGCGAGACTCGGTGTTACTATAGCTCCGCCTACATCCCGGGAAACGGGCGAGCGGAACGTTTGCGAGGCAATTACGGCCAGGGTGGAATCTGCTGACACACTTCCCTTCTCCGAGGGCGTTTCAAATTGGATTCGTTTCTGTAGTATGTCCAATATCACCGTGTCGTTCTCCAATGTTAGTCGCGTCGTCAACAGCTTGCGCGTCAATAAGTCCACGTGCAGGTTGAACTTCTCCCCTCGGAGTATCCGACTCACAAACGACGTGTCTCTCACGTTCACCAGTGACTTGATACGACGCATCTCAGATATCTCACTATGATGCGCTATAAAATGTGGGTCAGCAAACTTACGGAGAAATGACTCAGACTTCTTCTGGTCTACCGGTAACAGCCGACTCCAGAGCTCCACAAATACAACGAAGGCAATTTCACGTAAGGAGCAACTCATAGGCGGCACCGTCGAACAACACCAGTCGAAAAACGACGAATACAGAAAGCAGAATGAACTGTAGCTCGCTAACGGGTTCTCACGAGCCGTCAACCGCCGCGCCGCTGACACAAACAGGTTCTGCCCACCCGGGCCTGGGGGTCCGCCACCCGGACCTCCGCCCCCGCCTCCACCTCCACCTGCCATGCCCCCGGGGGCCATGTTCCCTGGCGCCATGTTCCCGGGGACCATGTTCCCGGGGGCCATGTTGCCTTGCGCCATGTTGCCTTGCGCCATGTTACCTTGCGCCATGTTACCTGGCGCCATGTTACCGGGGGCCGCGTTCAACGGCACATCCGAAGCTCCAGCAGCAGCTTGAGAGTTACCCTAAAGAATTGCGAGTCGCGGACCACTGCCAAACCTACGTAAGAGGGCGTGGCCCATCCTTGAGAGGGCTGTTGTCGCATTATAATTCATGCCCCGAAAATTGCGACCCAGACCACTGTACCTTACGCCGGACCACTAATGGAACAACCACTCACGGAACGACCACTCACGAAACGACCATCTCGCTCATCCGGACCAACTTCGGCCGCCAACATTTAGGCACTATCGCCAACACGCGTGCCAGCAGCCTGCATCAGCACCAGCACAGTGACCGTCTGTAGCTCACCATACCCCACCGGGACGGTCTGCCCCACGCTGCCCTGCCACGCCCTGTTGTGTTCATTGGCTCGCTCGGTCAACCGCCGCTGCCAACGGCTGGTTAAATATTTTACGGGGGCCAGCGACCGGGCGGCGATATGTTTGCGACCCGCGTCTATGAGACGACCACACATCAAATCTCAACTTACCCTCTCACCCAGACCTTAATTGCTTGGGACTTTTATAAGTAAGGCTACGCCGTGTGTACTTATGCGCGAGAGTTGCACACGTGTGCGAGAGTTGCACACGTGTGCGAGAGTTGCACACGTGTGCGGGACGTGATGTGATGTATTGTAGCGACATTGTGGATGACCGGGATAGTGACGTGGATTACGAGCGTTTACTGTTGCAGCGCGCCATGTCTGCACCCAAGGGCAGTCAAGCGGTGGCTGAGACCCGGGAGAGGTTTGCGAATTTCGACATTCTCGAATTGAAGGACCATTACCTCGGCGAAGACGATTACATTAACCATTACTATCCGTTGTACTTGATAGAGGCGAAGCAGGCGATATATCGTGCGCGCGAAATGGAAATGTCGGCCCAAAGTGGGGAAATTGTAACGCAGCATTCGGTGATGTTGAAGCACGAAGACACCTTCGAGGTGGTGATCGAGAGGCACTCGATTGGCGCGTCGATGGGCATAGGTGACCTCGTATTACTGTACAAGGACGGTCCTGCCCCGAACCACTTCTCCACACGGGCCGCGTTCTTGGAGCAAGTGAAGGACGGAAATATAGCTTTTCTGGAGTCTGCGGATCCGAGTCGGCTGGTGAACGACAATGAAGAGGAGAGCCCTGCGACCACGCCTGGTCCAGGAAGCAATGCACCTGGAGCTGGAACTGGCGGAGCTGGAACTGGCGGAGCTGGAACTGGCGGAGCTGGAACTGGCGGCGGTTTGGGGGAAAAGAACAACCTGCCGGCGGTGGACGGTGACGGGAACGCTCTGAGAGCGTGTTCTCCGTTGGAAGACAATCCGCATCATGCGCTGGGTGTGATAGATTCGATGGGAAGAGGGCTTGTAACAATTCGTATTTTAGTGCGCGAATCTTCTTTGACTCCGGCGGACTTTAAGATTACTGTGCCTAGCAAGGATTCGAATGAGAAACGACAGGCGACGGTGGACTTCATGTTTCGCCGTGAAACCTATCGAATGCATTGGTTGGTGGAGCAGTTGACGAACCGGAGTGACCCTACATGGTATTTGGCGAAGGTGATGAATCTGACGACGATATTCCGTGAATACCAAGCTTTAATGGCACTGCCGGACGTATTATTGAGGAACTATTTGTTACAGACGGCGGCTGGTAGTGCTCCGAAGGATGGCAAGCAATTGGAGCGGTGGAAGCGACGTCGTGAGGCTGAGGAGCGTAGTGAAAAGTTTCAGATTCCTCAGCAATTGCGAAATACCTTGGACAGATTGTATAACGCATCACAGATGGCCGCTCTTGAGGACTGCCTTAAGTCCATGGGCATTACATGTATTCAGGGACCACCAGGAACGGGCAAGACGACTACGATTATGGGAATTTTATCGGTGATTTTGAACGCACAAAAAACGAAAGAAGACACAGAGAAGGACAAGTCATTACTGGACGTTTCCGCCGAGCCCTCACCCATCAACTCCGATGACGAAGCGGAGAATACCCCTAGTCGCCGTATTGCTCGTTGTAACCTTCCCTGGCTCAAAGCACCATCCCATTGTATCTCATGGCAGGATGAACAGGATTTTTCTTTGGAGGATATAGCCGATCCCACACCAGTACCGAACGCGATACAAGAGAGAGAGTATATAGATGTCATCCGCTCCGCCGTTTCGGAACCACCAAAACGTATTTTAGTGTGCGCTCCATCGAACGCGGCCATTGATGAAATTGTGCGAAGACTAACGCGTGATCCAAAGCAAGGTGGTGGCATTTACGACACGAATGGGGAACGGCATACTCCCCAGGTCTTACGTGTTGGACCTAATTGTCACAGTGATTTGACAAATTGGTCTTTGAGGGAACGTGTGCGACGACGTATGGAACTTGAAGGTAAAGGGGGCCAGAATGAGGAGGCTTTGAAACTCGCTTTGTTGGCAGAATCGCGAGTTGTTTGCTGCACCCTGAGTGTGGCTGGAGCTCGTGAGCTTACGTCGTTCCATGAGGGATTCGATACCGTGGTCGTTGACGAGGCGTCACAAGGCGTCGAACTCTCCACGTTGGTCCCACTTAAATTGAACGCGAAACGACTAATCCTGGTAGGCGATCCGCGCCAACTACCGGCCACCGTGTTCAGCAAGGTTGCCGGCGACCTGCACTACGATCAGAGCCTGTTCCAGCGCTTAGAAAAGGCTGGGCACAAGATCAACATGCTCAGCGTTCAATACCGCATGCATCCCCGCATCTCGGAGTTCCCCTCGCAAGCCTACTATGACGGTAACCTGGCCGACTGGGAGGGTGTGGAGGCCGCCTGTAAGCCTCCGATCCCGTACTACCACGTGCCCATATTCAAGCCCGTAGTATTTTTTTCCCTCGATTCTCAGGAAAGTTCCCAAAGCTCAAGTAAAGTCAACATGGACGAGGTCGACTTCATCATCCAAATGATCGACTTGCTCAAGATACTTTTCAGCGGGGTACCCGAATACAACTGGATGGAACGCATTGCTGTCATCTCACCCTACGCCGAACAAGTCAAGACTTTAATCAAACAAATCAAGGCACTTATGGGCGTGGACAAACAACAACCATGTCCCATCGACGTGAACACCGTCGACGGATTCCAGGGACGAGAAAAAGACCTTGTGCTCTTCTCAGCCGTCCGAGCTCAGTACATCGGTGATAGCGGTATTCTACCTAACAAAGCAAACGTTGGTTTCCTAGCTGATGTTCGGCGCATGAATGTCGCCCTAACAAGGGCACGTCTCAACCTATGGGTTGTCGGAAATGGACGCTACCTTTCCAAGAATCCCGAATGGGGTAAGTTTGTGCAACACTGCAACAACAAGAATGCCATGTTCAATGTTAACCATGTAAAGTACTCCAAGTCCGGCTTCCTCAAACACTGGCTAACCGCCTACCTAGAACGAGTACCCGAGGCCGCTGAACCCTTCCTCAATGCCGTCCCAGACTTCCTGGAACGAATCAAAACAGACTCCAAATTGCTACTGGAAGCCGAAAGAGCCGCCGCGGCCGCCTTGGCCTCACAGCAAGCCCGAGAAGAGGAACTTGCGTCCTAAATTACGCAACCAGCCTGCTGCTGGGGCTGCAACCAGCCTGCCTGGTCCTTACCAGGCAGGATGCCTAGCCTCACGCCCCGTCTGCCCTGCTGGTCTGGCCTGGTGGTCCACCTTTTCAGCCCCAGTCCCAAAAGGGTAGCGAATGCGCACCCTATCTCTCCTTCTCGTATATGACGCTATTCAGGTGTCGGCAGTTGGTCCCGAAAAGGGGCTACTTGAAAAGGGGCTAGTGCCGAATGCCGAACCGGATTCAGACCCGCCGCTTGACTCGGCAGTTGACATTGTGCACGAGTCCGCGTCCGATATCGCAAACGATATCGCACACGATCTCGCAAACGATCTCGCACAACCACTTTCTTACTCTCCTCCGGACGATCCGTGGGAAGACAGTCGCCGATTGGTGTTCAGTGCCTCCGACGCGGCGACCTTGCTGGCTATGTTTATTGTGGACCCTCCGCGTCTCCTGTTTACTGTCGGGAGCGCCCCTCTGCCTTCGGGCTACCAACGGAAAGTGGTTCGGTACTACGAGACGCCTTCCTTCCACCAAAACGTGTACAACGTGGACGACGATCAGGACTATTTTTCGCCGGACCGTCTCGGTCCAACGGACAGACCGACCCGGCAGGAGCCTCCCAGCCTTCGTGGTACGCCCAACGCCGACCAGGCGAGTGACTGGGGTGTGCCAAGCTGGGTCAACAATCCTCCGAAAGATTTCCGACCCGATTTTGTACCTACTTCACAGCCTTCGCACTATTTCACATCCGTACCAGAGCGCCGTTCCCCAGATGACCACTCGCCAACTAACTCTGGCCCCTTTGCCCTCCCATCTGGACCATATCCTAACACTGGACCATCTCCAAACACTGGACCATCTCCAAACCCTGGACTATCTCCAGACCCCGGACCATATCCCACGCCTGGACCACACCCCACTCCTGTACCGTACCCCAACCACCCTGGACCGTACCCCGACCACCCTGGACCGTACCCCGACGCGGCCCACTCTGCAGTTCACCCGTGGCATTCGCACTCTCGCGAGCCCTCGGCGAATCGTCCCACCTACCTACCTTCACACGCAACGAGAAACAAGCCAGTGGGCACCACCCCGCCCTGGAACACCTTGACCGTCGCAAACTATACTGGCACCGAGCTGCTCTGGACGCCCTCCCCCGAACACACGACCCTCTCTTGGCACTCCACTCCCTCTTGGCACTCCACTCCCTCTTGGCACTCCACTCCCTCTTGGACGCCCGCTCCCCCGCTTGACGGACCGCGGGCGTCTCCCACACGCCCGACAATTCTAGACATGGACCGAACAGAACACTTTAGCACCACCCTTCTGGGTTCAGCTGAAATGTTAACCACTGCAGCACTGCCACCACCTCAACACCCGCCCGTCTACGCGCTAGCGCCGCCAAACTATCAACAGCCCCAACGTGTCTATCACCCTCGTTACCCACCTTCTGGCTATCCGTACTCCGACGACCATCATTATGGCTACCCCCCTGACTACAGTCCGGGTTACGGATGGTCGTCGACACCTCCCTCGAGTTCGCACTATAATCCCGGAGACGCCCCGACTTATCCTGTTACCGCTCCACCGCAGCATGTCACGCAGCAGGTTACACAGCCGATTGCACAGAGGCCTGGAGAGGAGCCGGAGTGTCCCTATGCCCAAAGTTCCTGCACGCTTGCCGTCAGCTGTTCTGCCACACCCGTTCCCTGCTCCACGACCACCACGACGTGTCCAACGACGACCACCACCACGACCTGTCCCACCACGACGACCACCACGACGTGTCCCTCCACCACCACCACGACCATCTGTCCCACCACGACCACCACCACTTGCCCGACCACGACGACGACCACAACCCCAGTTCCTTGCACCACAACGCCTTCCTGCACAACAACACCCACCACATGTACAACCACAACTACGACCACCCCAAGCTGCACTTCGGATTCCACCACCCCGAACTGGACAACATCGTGCCACTGCGATCGGATGACCCAACCTGCGCACGATGTCTATGCCACCGACTGGAGGCAGCGTATCCCTCCTAGTGACATGGGCCATATCGCTCACAGCTATCTTGGTCGGACTGCTGGAGGCGAAAGGCGACCTTCGGCTCAACACCCGGGCCAGCCGATTGACTACCACCACCCGTACGACTACGGTGATGAAGACGGGTATGAGACCACCCGGCCCCTTCGGCGGAGACGTCCCACTCCACCTCCGGAAGATGATGAGTACAAAGATCACGAGTACGGCCGGGGGGACCCTGGGTACAGAGATCGGGGTTACGGGGGCCCTGCACAGAGAGACCGCAGGCGCGAAAACCGAGGATACGGAGACCGGGGACCGGCAGACGGAGATTCTGAAAACGAAGGTCCCGGGTACGCAGACCCCGGGTATGGAGACCACGGGTACCAGGCGATGACCACTCGATCTCCGTATCCCCGGAGGAGAACCACGGAGCCGACGCGGGAGCCGCCGACGACGACTGAGCCCGCCGAGCCGGAGTCCTCGACGACGCGGCGGCGACGGAAACGGCGGCGGCGGCGCAGTTCGGTCCCGACGACCACGGAGCCGCCCAGCAGCGAAACTGCGACCACCGCCGCCCGGGGCTGGCTGGACCCACTGAAGCGCGGCGCACAGTACGTGGGCGACGGGGTCATGACCGTAGGACATGTGGCCAAGGACGGTGTGGTTGACGTAGGTGATGGCGCCGTGACCGTGGGCAAGGGTATCGCCGACGGGATCGGATGGGCCGGCAAGAAACTGATTGGCATGGAGGGCGCGGAAGAACGAATTGTGGATGAACAGATTTTGCGCCAACTGATTCTGGAGGGGGAAGAGGGCGTTGCTGGCGCAGAAGGGATGGCCGGCGCTTCGGCCTCCGAGCCGCCGGCGGAGCGTGGGTTCTTCGAACAGGGGTATCTCTGGCTGCGGCGGTTGTGGCCTTGGCGGCTGCACAGCACCTTCCGCCAACCGATCTTCGACTCGCTCCGGTTCGGAACCACAGCCCCCGAAGAAACGCTCCCCGGTGCAAAGGATCCCGATCCGACGGACCTGAGTGGAAAGAATCCCCGTCCAAAGGATCCCCGTGTAAGGGATCCTGGCCCCGGTCTTCCGGTCAGTCCCAAGTTACCCCCGGCAAAGACTAGCACAAGTGCCATAGACACTATCCATACCGCTCCTGCTATGTCTGGTCTGACTGTCAAGACCGATTCGATTCCCCAAACCGCGACTCCCGAAACCGCGAAGACTGAAATCGGATCACGCGACCATCCAGCCGGTGTCCGGACGACAGACGCCCGCGAAACACCGACGGCCGGTGCGCACCCCCTCGGTGTATTCAGCGCACACGAAGCTGAATCCAACAACTTGAGACTCGCCCAGAACAGCGTCGACGGCGAAGACTTCGGCCACAACGGGGATGCAGGTGCCACCACGGGAAAGGCGCAAGACAGTGACGAGGTGTCGAGTTCCGGGCTGATTGATGGCCCGGACGTGCTGACCAGCTCAGGGACCCAGCAGCCCAGCGTCACTGCTGTCGGTCCGGCCTTGGTGGAGCCAGAAGAGGCCGACGCGCCTGATGACTCGGACGTGGTGACTAACCCAGCAAACCAGCAGCCCAGCATCACTGCTACCGGTCCGGCCTTGGTGGAGCCAGAAAAGGCCGACGCGCCTGATGACCCGGACGTAGTGACCA